GGTTTGGGTTGTGGGTGTGTTAGGGTTGACTATGTAGTGTTGCTAATCGGTTAGACACGGATTTGTGCAGGGTGGTTGGATAGGGATGACCCTGCCTCAGGCTAGGTCTGGTTGGACTAGATGACCTTGGCAGTCCCTTCCAGCTCGACTTTTCTATGATTTCTGCACTTAGAGCACTACTGCAGAACACCCGCAAATCTCATAGTTCTCCATGGGAGCTGCTGGTGCTCATTAACCTTGAAAACCAGACACTAACATACTCTTTTAACGATAGCAGATCTGCTTTAGCTGTGGGTAAACCTTAAAAATAAACCTCATACCAATATGCCTGGTGAGCAATTGCACATCCTTTGGTAACTCTGAGCAAATCTCTCTTGCATCATTGCTTTTCTGTTGACTGACATGCTGCGGATACCACTATCCGTTATGTTTTGCATGATGTGCTATATAGGACGGGTGAATATTTAGCCTAGTCATTGGAAGAACGTCAAGTTTTTGTATCGTCTTTCCTCCCAATGGGTGTGATGGACTGTATGCCTGGTCCTCTTGTGTGCTACCAGTTTGTTTTCCTTTACCAGCAGACCTGCTGCTGCTCTTTTGATCTTCTGGCTCCCAGGCCTTTTCTTGGCCTGCTAATGTCTCTTCCAAGTGTTTGCCAACAAGTGAAATGCATTGAGGCTGCCTTCTTTCCCTCCTGAGGGTTATTCCTTGCAGTCCCCTATCAGCCTAAATCAATGTATTGATAAAGAAAATGTCTTGGCATCCAGGTCAACACAGGGCTCTATTAAATTGTTACAGAACAAATCCGCTTCCGTAACAGATAGATTTTACCCCTTGGAAGCAGCACATAAAAATAATGGATGCATCCAATATAGTACACATGCGCATACATGCACTGATGCATTCATAAAAGGATATAATGAAGGACCTATATTGTCATCGGGTATTAATATCTGGCTGCCTTGGGAGGTTAACGTATTCAGTGTAAGATTAGTGTGGAACCCTACAGTAGGGTATGTCCTGCCTGCTGTATTTTAGTTACAAACCTAGCAAGCATGGAGAAGTAAGCATTGTACAGAAGAAAAAAAAAATCCATTAAGCCCTGCTGAAATGAGACAAGTCTAATTTTTAATTAAATAATGTCTGCTCTATGGAACTATCTTTGGGGACAGCTAAGTAGAGCACCAGAAGGGAGTGAAACAGGAAGAGGCAACGTGGCTGGTTTTGAATAAAGAGTCATTATAAAGATGATATAAAGAGTGGCGTTAGAAAATCTTCCATTTTAGTGCAAACAATAAATTATGATCAAGGGACGTGATTTTTTTTCACTCTATTCAGTACAGGTGAGGCCACATCTGGAGTCCTGTGTCCAGTTTTGGCCTCCTTACTACAGAAAGGATGTGGACAAATTGGAGAGAGTCCAGCGGAGGGCAGTGAAAGTAATTAGGGGGTTAGGGGACATGACTTGTAGGAAAGGCTGAGGGAACTGGGCTGATTTAGTCTGCAGAAGAGAAGACCGAGGGGGGATTTGATAGCAGCCTTCACCTCCCTGCCGGGGGGCTGCAAAGAGGATGGAGCTGGGCTGTTCTCAGTGGGGGCAGATGACAGGACAAGGAGCAATAGGCTCAAGTTGCAGCAAGGGAAGTTTAAGTTAGATATTAGGAAAAAACTTTCTCACCAGAAGGGTAGTAAAATGCTGGAACAGGTTACTCAGGGAGGCTGTGGACTCTCCATCCTTGGAGGTTTTTAAGCTCTACTAGACAAAGCCTTGACTGGGATGATCTAGTCCTCCTTTGAGCAGGGGGATGGACTAGATGTGACCTCCTGAGGTCCCTTCCAATCCTCATTGTGTATGATTCTATGAATAAAAGCCACCGGAGGGAGAACAGTTTGTCATCTAATGGTGACATTTCATTCGGTGACTGAGAACACGTTTCCGTGTCAGCCCAGAGCCTTCCATAGTTTAACAAGGAGAAGTGCTGGGAGGGATTTCCCAGCCTGTGAGAATGGTCATTTCACACTTTAAACATGTTTCATGCAGCCGTGTTGGTCTAGAGGAAAAGGCAATCACGACTCATAGTAGAGATGGTATCTTCTATTAGACCAACAAGATTTTTGCAAAAAAAAAAATTTTGCAGAATTTTTTTTGCAAAAACAAAAGAATTAATCTTGCAAAAATCTTGTTGGTCTAATAAAAAATATCATCTCTACTGTAAGTCCTGATGGCTTACATGGTTTGCACTCTGGTTACTTAAGTTAGTGGCTGCCATGGCATTTTTAGAAAAGCAAAGAATTAGCACAGAGCAAAAACAATTATATCAACAACAACGGGAACAATGAGGGTATAAGCTTGAAAGGGCCCTCTTCCCCCAATTTGGATGTTGAACTGTTCTCTGCTTCAATGATAGATCAGAGATTGAATGTGATATTCAAGACCAAAAGCCCCTTTGAAAAGGGGCTCTTATCTGCCTGGGGTGACTTTGGGGATCTCTGTCAAGTATCTTGAACTACAAAAGCTGTCCCTCCCTATCTGCTTTGCCTTCTTGTCTTATACACACAGACAGAGATAAGTATCAAGCAGACTGATGCAGACAGGAAATGGAATGCAGACATGGGCAGATCCAGGATCAGGGCAACGAGGCGTCTGAACATGTTTGGCCATGCAGCTCATGCATTGTGAGCTCTCTAAGCTCACTGGTCTTGTAGTGAGCACTGGGCTCAATAAATGCAGGGATAATGAGAAGAGCACACGTTAATCTTGGAGCAACATGCTACTTCTCCAGACAGTTTGTCTGTCTCTCTAACTGACTCACAGCTACTTAACTGAGGGGTCATCTCCTGATTCCCAACCCCTCAGTTTCCTGTTAGGGAGCATCTCTAAATTCTAACTTCTATCACCGCAGGAGTGTGGGCACAGCCTTGCCAGAGCTCTGCATATTCTCTGAGCTCTGAGTTTGGGAGCTTATCGGCATGGACTGTGGCCAAGGTCCTTGGGCTTGGCTAGAGAACTGGCATAGGATCGGCCTAAATACCAGTGCAAATTTCTCCTATGACTTTCACTGGAAAACAGCAGCAAAGTTCTATGTAGGCAACATACCCATTAAACATCTAAATATCTAGACACAATCCTATTCCACCCTGCTCAATCCCTGAAAAACTTAATGCAAAAAGGTGCGTGGGTCATCCTCCTCTTCGCTACTTATTGCAGCTTAGTCTTAAGGCTAAGAGGGACCAAAATAGATGAATGAACCATCTTTCCAACACTTGAGCAGGGTATAATAAGATTGCACTTTGACACTTAGATATTTAAGTGCCACTTAGATACCTAATAGGCAGAATGAGATGTGGTCCTATATCTGTAATATGTAAAAAAAAAAGAAATGCAATAGTCTTAACGTTTCAGTAAAGGAATAGGCTGTACAGCTCTTCTCCATGTATCTTTATTGTTGGCAATTAATAACTTTTATCTGCTCTGTTGGCTTAAAAATCTAAAAGCTCCTTAAATCTCAATAACGGCACAAAGCTTGAATACTGAAATCGTGGTGAGCTTTGCTAGTTTCATCACAATGAGTAAATGCCTCCTTTCAGAGCAACATTTGTAGTGTGGAGGCTGGCTTTTGAGAAGACATAAATTAAATAAGAGTTGACCCAAATCCAAACTCAGACTCTTTTTCAAGTTCAATGGCGTTTAGCCTCCTTTTTTTGTTTTTCTGCAATTCTCTCATTCCTGGGTCTGTCAGAAGTCTCTGTATTAAAATATTGTGAAGGAAGACGTCTTCTTGATATTGCCAGTTTATCAGAAAATTGTCTGAAAGAGCTTGTTCTAATGTGATTTACAACCCAATTCTGTAGCCTCAAGAAGATTGATTTAGGATCCAATCTTCCTTTTATGCACTGGGCTTGTAAGTTGGTTTTGATGAGTTCTTCTTCTTATGTCTCTATGCTATGTTTGACTATTTTGTTATACATGCTTGCACTCATTTATTGTACTTTGCAAGATCTTTCAGTGTACATGTGCCTTCAAGCACTGGGCATTGCAGCAGGTGTTGCCTAGTCTGAGGCTCTGTGCCACAGTCATAGGTGGTTGAACCAATGGCATAGCCCCAGTTCTTCATTAGTTCCTTGAAAAGTCTGACTCCACCATATAGGTGATTGAGACATCACCACCTTTGCCACAATTCATAAGCCCCTAGTGGTAAAGACTTGGGTGCTGGAATGTCCATTTTTTCACTGTCGGGTATTTTTTTCAGCTTCTCATTCCACATCTGTAGTCATGTGTCTTTGGGTGTGGCACCAAGAGGTTGGGTGCTGGTGAAGAATCTCCTGCATGACTTCAGACATTTGTGTGCTGCAGGATAGTCATACAGCGGGTGTCTCACATCTTCAGTCTGTTTTGATTCTTCTATATCGTTTCACAAGCTGATTCTTGATCAGTATTTGTTCCAGTTATGTTGGAGAGCATGGATTGTCCGCCTTGCATCAGATCAACAGCATCCATTACTCCACAGAACCTCTTACATTTGTGTGAAGCATCAGAAGCAGGCCTCAGTGAGCATGTCTACATGTGCAATTAATGCAACTGATTATACTGCACAGCAAATTATTGCACAGTAATCTACTCCTGGGTACAGTGTCTACATGTGCATTTGAGCACAGTAATTTACTGTGCCACTGGATAGTATTGCTGTCTGATGGGACTATCTGATGGTACAGTAAATAAGTCTACACCGCCCTAATTGCCATGCACGTGAAGATGGTGACACTTTACTGCACAGTAAATTAGTCTACTGTGCAGTAAAATGCACATGTAGATGCACCCAGTATTTGTAAGTTTGCCTTGGGGAGAAAGGAAAACCTGGAGTCTATCAGCCTTTTTCCCTTGGGCCTGTGTCTTCAAGTTGCAGGTGCTTTTTTTTGTTCCAATGGGGGGAAACACACCTTAAAGTCTCTGTTTCTTGGTAGTGTTTCTTGTTCTTGTTAAGTCTCTGTTTCTTGTCCAGCAGTGCCTGGAGGCTTTCAGTGAGATTTTGGACCAATTGTACAAGACATCATTGAGGTAAGAAGGCTGCATTTTGCTCTCTATATAAATGTGTCATTGAGTCTTTTGATACGAGAATGGAGTTTAGCTCCTCGTAGCAAGAGCAATTATGATATGAACACATGGCTCGAAACTAGAGATGCACTTGCAGTGCTTGCATCTGGAACAATCTCAGCCCCCAGGGGAGGGTCAGACTGGTGGTTCCAGGTCGACCCAGGGTTGTCTCCATGTGACATTATAAAACAGCATGTTCTCCCCAGGACTATAACAAGCCACATGGCTCTGAGGTCACTGACTCTCTGCTGTTTTAACCTGCATTTCACAAGCAGAAAAAACCTTGCAGAGTGGTGGGTTCAGCATGGCCACCTGGGGCATGGATGTGTTGGGCAAACGGCTTCAGACTAAAATGTTACATTTTTAAAGTATTGTAAAGAATAATGACTTATTGTAAGAAATCTGCAGCCCGGTGAGAAGGCACCCAGAAGCCTTCTACACAACAAAACTTAGGGAGACTAATTCTTCTGCACACATTGATCAACTGAGTATAAAATGGCTGTAAAATAAGAATGAATCATAATATTTCAGTGGGGTAAGTAACTAGACAAGGTTTGTGGCAATGAGGAGTCACTCCTGCTCCATTTAACAGAACTGGGATTGAGCCTAGCCTCAAGGCGGAAAGGTCTTCTCTACACAAAGGGGGTGCTTATTCTGCTCCTCTCAGAGCCATGAGGTCAGGTCTGTGCTGGATGTAGCAATGCCAGATGCATCATTATATAGAGGGAGCCAACAGTAATGTTAGGGAGTTGTCTAGAGTTCTCAGGATCCCATGCTCGAGACAGGGACCTGACTTTCATGAGGTCCCCACACAGCAAGAGGTCTATTGCTTTGTCTGAGGTGAATAAACGGCCTCTGAATGGCAACTGACCACTAAATTGCAATAGAAAAGCTATTCATACAGATCTGCCATCCCTTACACCTGTTATTTTCTCAGCAGCTAGATCCTGTGATAGCTTAGGAAAAACTATATCTAAGTTCTGTGTGTGTGCGCACGCGCACGCTCACACTTGAATGTACATACCGCTGTTTTGCCACTGGAAATCGTGATCATCAATGTTAATAGCAGTGACCTTATGAGAATACAGACACATTTGTTATGATAAAGCAGAGGATAACACATCCCTTTTATTTGGCATGCTCATATTCACTGTAACAAGAAGAAGAAATATAACTTCTTGAATTCTGTGCCTCCCCATATAATATTGTTTTAAACCTGTAAATCTTCCAAGAAACCTTATCAGCAAGGATGGCTTCTTTAGGTCTCTTGCACCGAGCCACTTTATAACCTGAGAACTAAAGCTTGCAGTTTCCAGCACTCCTGGATTGAGGAAGTTTGGAAGAAGGGGAAAGGAAGTGTTTGTGATGCAAAGCGACAAGGATCGGTTGATACAGCAGGTTAGGATCTGTGCTGCAGCGTGAGAATTCTTTTAGGATCCTAGCTTTATATTTCAGGTGTGAAGGCTAGAAAATGATATTTAGAGCTTTGCTTTGGGGAATTGGATTGTAGGTAAAGTAAATATGCATTAGAACAATGGTCCAGGGAAATGGCAGGGGTTAATTGATTTCTAAAGGCACACTTCAAGGCCCATTGTGTCTGACACAGGCAGAAAGCAGACACACAGGCTTGGAAATTGAAGATATGTACCACATTGTTCCGTAACAGAGATAATGGACATTGCCACGTTGGCTAGGTCACAGTGCCCAACTGCAGAGCCCTTGGGATTTCCAGTTTTGGGGAGCAGATGAAATTAGGAGAAGGCTGAGAAAGCCCTAATTAGGATGTGTGCATGTGATGGGTTTGTGAAACAACGGAATATGCTGAGAGGACAGAATGTGGACAGTATGACGACCACAGGGAGACCAATCTATGGTACCCAGAGATGAAGAGTCATCAGAGAGGGAAAAAGATACAAAAGGAGGGCTTTCAGAGCAGCAAAAGGTCCCTGAGAGGGGAACCCAAGGCCACCATGGACAGAAGGCATATTACCAGTCCATCTCACCCACCACACTGCAGGGGTAGGGTCAGATGGGCCTTGACCTCCAACCTCCAAGCTGCTGATTTCTGACATTCAAGAGAGAACCTCAGAGAGAAGCTTTCATACTGGCTGGACGTACCTTCACTCTGTGAACACTGGGGCTGGTAGATATAGAATTGTTTGCGTTATTCTTATCTGATATCATTGTGTATCAATAAAATTCAGTTATTATTCAATAGAGAGGTTGTGGTCAGTCTGAGGGTTTGGGTCTGCCTGGAACAAGGTATCTGTATCATAAATCCAGTGTCAACAAGGTGATCTAGATCTTTGGAAGGTTTTGTAAAGTGATATCCTTAGCTGGTAGAAATGTATCTCAGGGGAGTTAAGATAGTGTAAGAGTGATGTTGGAGCCATGATGGTCCAGAAATTACACTAGAGGCAAGGATTTCCTATGGTGGTATCTTTTATTGGACTAATTATGTAGCTGGGAGAAAGTTAGACAAGCTTTTGAATTCAAGACATTCTTCCTTAGGTCCCTGATCACAGGAAACAGGCACAGTATAGTGCAAAACAGCAGGGGGGGGAAGTGAGGGCTCTTCTCAGGAGTAGCAGACAATTAGCAGAGGGAAAGAAGCTGAGTACTGGGAGATCAAGGCCTATCACCCTTGATAATGATGATGATGATAGTAACAATTTGGTTTTCTTGTATGAAAGTGGTTGTTAGAAAAGGGAGGGTTTTAAAATATGCCCAGTGCTACCCTTGATGATATTTATGCAACTTGGGTCAGATTTACCCTTGTTGTCACCTCCCTGTGTTCCACAGCAATGCATTGATCAGTGCAGCTGGCTCCTTAGATCTCAGAAAAAACAAGCATGCTATGAATCTGCCAGGCTAAAGAAAGGGAATTTAGCATATGCATAGTAAACATGAACTATGGTATTAGACAAAATTAAGGTTATGGCTTGCAGCAAGTCAGAGCCTCGGAGGCTGTGCAAAATCCCTGATAGGAATGTAGATGCAGCTCAAGCATAACTAAATTGTTTACAGTAAAAATATTATAATTTATTAGCTTGCAGCCAGCACTTACCTTTCTTCAATGGCCCTGTTGGGTTTTTGGGGTTTTTTTTAATTTTGTACTTTTTAAGATCACCTAATTTATAGAATCCACAAACCACCGGCTTATGGTGAACACTTTAAAAGCATGTTGTGTCGGAAGAACTGGCAGAAAGAGTGCTAGTAATAGCTTTGGAGAGGACAGTATTTCTAGAGCCCTGATAGCTCATGGGGTTATTCATGGAGGGAGCCTTGTAGTCATCGTTTGCTAGTTAGAAACTGGTGCAAGTCTGCAATGACCATGTGTGAAAGGGGTTGGTTGTCTCATTTCCGCTCCCAATGGATGAGGGACAGCTGCTTGTTACTCCAGTGGTTGCTAGTTGAGAACCAACAGCTCAAGCTGTGCTGACGTTGTCCTTCCACCTGGCTTATCTTTTTGGATCAGGACTTGGTGCTGTAGATCAAGAGGGCTTCAGTTCATCAAAATGGCAACCTGAATGGAAGTCGATGAAGATGCCATAGCCACCATAGCAGTTTCATGGCTGAGTTTTGTGCCTGCAATTTTTTAATCATTAACAAGAAACAACAACATCTTAACCTGTTGGGTTTTGTTTCTGTTTGGCTTAGCCTTCATTCCCCTATCGTGGGGCATATTATTGCTAGACAGTTGAACATGACTTGAGTTATACATGCCAAGCTGAAAGTCAGCAAGCATAATAGAAGTTAAGGTTAATTTCCTTGCAGTTGCTACAATAGCAGAGGAGACTATAGTAATTAAAACCATCTTAAAAAGTGATTTAATCTTGTAAACACTCTTTAATCAGCAGTAATGAGGTGGGGGGTGGGGGGAGATGTGACATGAAGCATTATGTGTCCTGCGTGGCTCCAGAAGCAGTTTTAATTTTTTACCATTTGTCTATGAACGTCCCCAATGTATCATGCATGTACAGACACAGAATGAGATATGGCCTCTGGCCCACTGAGTTCACTATCTAATTTAGACATAGGAAAACAGGTCCAGCACTGAGACAGCCTAGATGTTGTTAGTGATGTAACCTATATGAGAAGAGTTGTATCCTGTTTTATTGAATACAGGCTTCCCTCGCTTTATGCGGGTTCTGTATGTGCAAATTTGCTCTTATGTGTCATTTTCCAGGAATGCACATACCACATAAAGCGGGGGAAACCTGTATAAGATTGTCTGGCCAGAAACGTGAAAGTTGTGGGCTTTCAAAAGGGCATATAAGAGGATAACTGGCCATCTCATGGCTGGGCACAAGTCTTTTCTATCAACAAGGCCTTCCCATATTTGTATGGCCTAGAGGTGTATGCTGAACTGTATTCCAGTCTGGAAATGGAGGAAAGAAGTGATGAAACAGTTGGTTTTGCTACCATGCAAGAACAAGGAAGATGGGAGGCCTGCTGTCTTTTTCTAACAAGGGAAGGAAGGTGAGACCTTAGAAGAGCAGGACTTGCCTCTTGTCATAGAATCAAAGGGTTAAAAGTGACCTCAAGGGTCATCTGATCCAACCCCTACCTTTTGGAGGAGAGAGACCAGGAGCCATTGGTGGGTGGGTCTCATCTGTGAGGGCAGCCTTTGGGCAGTGGGGGTGGTAGGAAGAAGCCTGGACTAGGGTGAGGTGCAGTCATAGAAGCCAAGCAGAGCTATGGCAGCCCAGGACCCAGTGAGCTGCCATCCCAGTTTTGGGATCGGCTTGCAGCTCACTCTGGATTTCATGGTCCAGTGACTCTGCCTCTAGCTATGCCCAAGGTAGCTATGGGTAGTTTGAACCTAGTTTGGGTGTGCCTGCAGGAGCTGTTGTAATGACACTACAGCCATCCTTGCAGAAATAGTGACCCTGTGCAGTGAAGTGGTGCTTACAGAAACCCAGCTCTGGGGTGTGCAGAAGAGGGGGGAGGAGAAGTCCCTG